AGAGATAGTGATGCTGGTGATGCTCTGTTATTCATGAATGCATAGAAACATCTGTTCTGATTAATTTTTATTAAAAATTTTCAGTCTGTATTAATTAGATACCTGGCCAACCACAAGGAGCATATTCAATTTGCTGTGATGGAGAGGACGTACACAAAAACTTTTGGTCTGTCCTGTGTGTTTTTTGTTTGTTTTAAAGCATGAATTCAAAAAGGTCTCTGACCCCACTGTAATCAGAATATAACCATTGTAAGAGATGAATCCATCCGTAGTTTTCATTTCCCACTTTTACAGGAAGAATTGATTCTTTCTTGGCTTTCCTCGCTCTCGCTTTCTCCCTCTGCCTCCTCTCCAGCACTAGCTGCTCTTTTTCACTTGTGGTGAGAGAATAAACCTGGGTAATGGCTCCATAACCTGCCATTCTTTCCTCTTGGGTCATCTGTGCTCTCAAATGAAAAGCATAATTTCTTAACATATTTCATAGATATAAGAAAGAGAGTGTCCATAGTAAAGTATCCAACTTCAAAGAGGTGAATATTAAGACCTTAAATGCTTCAAGACAGTCAAGGGGAAACAAAAGGCTCCACAACAGTTAGGAGATTTTGCATTGGTTCCAGGTACTCTCCTGTTAAAAAAAAAAAAAAAAAGAAGAAAAAGGTAAAAGAATTTTTCAGGTTTTCAGGTGCCTCGGGTGTCAATGCTCTGGTATACCTGTGGCTGGGCCTGGGCCAGATGGCTCCACATGGCCCATCTGGTTTTCTAGTGAAAGCATCGGACTAACCTCCAAGACATGAAATATTTTGGGGTTCTTCCTGGACTCTCTTGTTTCCCACTGGAAGGACAGATGGGATTCTTTAATATTAAGCTCTTTACTAGGACATCAGGGACAAGGATTTGAGGAGGACCCAGGCTTCAGCCTGTGAAAGTTGCTCAGATAAGTTCAGGCATGGCAAATTCTTTCAGCTCTCCTATTTTGCATCTGGTGTGCACCTTCCTAGTAAATGAAAGCTAGTCTTTTTTTATGTGGCTTTCCAGTGCCTGTACTAGTGATCAGTTCTCTTTGCTGCTGTTTTTCTTCTCTTTTGACACAAATGCAAAGGATTGTAATGTCTTAGTCCTCTTGTCCTCTGCTGGCTTTCCTATTATTTATCCTTTCCAGAGAGAGGCGATTAAATTTAAAAATCATCTGACAGAAAGATGATTGTTTACCAGTTACAAGTGTCACAGTCTATTCGGCACCAGGCGTGTGAAGGAAAACATTTATTTTTGCAGAGTGTCATATTACCTAAGTTGTACGTCTGACTGCTCCTGTATAGCTTTCCCTTGTTCTCCCTGTCATGAGAAAAGTCCTGGAAGAATATGGAAGGTGGGAACGTATTTACAGAAAAAGAAGAAAGATTCTGGGACTTGAAAACAACAAGTATGTTATAGTGGGTGGCCTGTGTAATTTACCCTTTTAGAACCTGACTGATTTTAAAGAAGATGATGTGCAGCAGAGCATAGTGGCCTCGTAAGCATCGGCACAGCGCAATCCAGGTGATACAAATCCTTGATCTTCTAAACCACAGTTTGTGAGAGGTGTGTTCTCCAGAAGTGCAAACGGGTAATAAAAAGCAGGTCCTGATGCTTAGTGGGTGACTGAGTGTGAATAGAAAGTGCTTGCAGATTTCTGGTGAAAAAAATAGCCTGAAAGGGAGCGCTGTGGTTTTTTGCTCCGTTCCTCCGGAAGGGCCGTGGGGTAGAAGCTCTGCGGAGCGGTGCAGAGCAGGGCCGCTGAGGCAAAGGAGGGAGCAGCTAGTGAAGGACACGGCAAGATTTCTAATCTAGCATATAAAAAGATGCTGGAAGCCTAAGGAGAAGCTGTAAGATTGCTGCGGGGAAGTGGTCCCAGCGGAACTTGCACTCCTGCCATGAGCTTTCTGAGAGCTGGAATTATAATTCCCAATTTAGTAACATTTCAGGAGGCCAGAGAAGTTCTAAAAAGCTGGTGTCGTTATACAGAGAGGGAGCTGAGCTAGTAACCACACACTGACAGCACTGGGAGAGGAGGCAAGCAGCAGCAGTGCTTTAAATTATATAAGTAAAATCTGGTGAAAAGCCAGGATATCTAAATATATTTTACACTCCTTCAAAGCATATTATTTTCATATTGTTCTAATCCCATTTTCTTCTTTGTATAGAAATGACACTGATTTAAGTTGAGATAGTTCAAATATTAGTTTAGCTGAACACCCACATAGGTGGTGCTGCTTCCATTTCGATGTCTTAGTTTTGCTTGAATTAAAACTTATTAATTGAACAAGGACAAATACTTTTTATTTTGATTAAATTTTTTGTTTGTTTGTTTCAAACGTGATTTCATTTTAATTCATGTATGCTGTCAAAAAAGGCTATCACCCCGTAGAAATGTGTCAAACCTAAGAGATACACAGGAAATTGCGAGATTTTTAGTGTCATTCTGAAAATTATTAGTTTTGTGCATGCTGTGGGAGAGGTGGTAATTTTAGAGGAACTTGATTGAAGTGAAGAGATGTTTGAAGCTTGGTGGGAGTATGGGGTGGGAAGATAGGCAGGATGTGTCTTGTGGACAAAAAAAAAGATAGGAAATAAGTGAGATTATGAAAAGGTTGGTGAGGCTGATACACTAGTAGAACATAAACTGAGTAGGAATACAGTAAAAAAACTCCACCAAATATTTACATATTTGATTTTGGTGTTCATATACTGTATGGTGTCAGATAAGAATATGGGTAGGAATGGGGATGTGTTGGACCTGAATTTAAGTTCAAATGCATTGCCTACAGAAAGAGCCACTCTAGCAGTATCTTTTCTCTTTTTTTGGGGTATTTATTCTGTCTAGTTCTTCTCTTTATTGCCTCCTTTTTCATCTGCTCTGTCTTTAAAATAGTTTTAATGACAAGTCTTACTCTGCAAGAAAGTCACGACATGCACCACTATATATCTTCCTTAAGAATTCCTTAGCATAGAGACTCTTCACTGTTGTAGATGCCAAAGTCTTCTGGCATATATCCAAGAAGCATGATAAGAGTTTTCTAACCTTTTAGATACCAATTCCTGCAAGTTGAGGGGGGATTTGTTTGTTTGTTTTCTACACCAATGACTGGAGAGATCTGTCTGATCTCAGTTAATTTTTCCTTTTTTATTTTGTAGTCTGTAAATGCTGACTTTTTCCCTATTTTTATGAGTGGGATGATCTAGTTTAGTTGGACTATAATTGTGTGGATCTTTAAAAATGCTTTATGTGCTGCTTTCCTATCTGTGCACTGTTGACATGAAATTCTATTTGTGAAATTGTTTTGTTCAAATAGTAGTGTATTATTTAATTATAGGATGTTATAGAAAAATAAAGAAAAATAGTTTTTTAGAGCCTTTTTGTAAGCATTAATCAGAAAAGGAGTATCCTTGTTTTCCTTAAAAGTAGTCATATATCTAATTCGTTATTAAATTTTGTCAAAAAAAATGTTCAAAAAGTCAATCATTCTAGATTTTGGAAAAGTTGGTTAAGAATATTAGCAAAGAAATAGTCATCAGAATGGAAACTTTAAACCTGTTTTTTGTTAAAAAAGTCACAGTAGTGCATGTGAACTAAAAGCTATTGCAAGGAAATCTCAGATAAGGTCACAAAACTACATATCCCAGTCCTGACTACTCATATTTGGGAGCAGAAAGGGATAATCCTTTTATCCAGTAGTAGAAGAATAATTACCAGCTCACCTGATTATTCTAATGGGTGCCTTCAAACAGACTTTACATAAGCTCTGCTGATGAAGATGTTGGCTATATGATGAAGACTCAGTTCCACCATAAAAATTTCATTCTGTTAGGGAGATTTTGCTGAAATAACTACATTTAATTCAGTTTACACCACCATTACCTGGTTTAATGGCTGTCAAAGAATATGAACGTGAGCTCAGAAAGCAAATTAATTACGCAGTAAATACTGAATGGTACCTTGTGTGTAAGCAAAAGGCATTTACCTCATAGCACATTGATCCATCGTGTAACAAATGTGACAGTTAACAGCATTTCGTCTTATCTCGCTCTTCCTGCAGTGTCCGTGAAAGAGTTTCCCACTTGTAACAGATGGTCTGAGCACAGCTTTGAAATTTATCTGGAGATGAAACCCTGTTGATTCCATTAAAAACAGTTTTCATGCAGATGGAGACAAGGAGGGATTTATTGTTTTTGCAGTTCTGCCGATGAGCTATTTCATCCAACGCCTTCCTTTTCTTTCCTCTTGCAGGTGATGTGCCTTCAGGATTTCTTTGGTGATGATGACATTTTTATTGCATGTGGACCAGAAAAGTTCCGTTACCAGGACGATTTCTTGCTGGATGAAAGTGGTAAGGAGATGTCTTCTAAAAATATTTACAACCGGAGCAGGGGGCAGCTTTTCCTATCATGCTAAATTAAGCTCAAACCGTATCACCTAAACTGTTTTTAGAAGAAGAATAAATATTTTTAGGCTTTAAATTCTAAATACTGAAAACAAGCAAAGGAAAGCAGTAAAGATACAAAGGGTAAAGTATCAGCGAATACAGTATAAAGCTTTACCTCAGCTTGAATTTGATGCACAAATAGAATGGAAATGTGTTTTATGGATCCCTTGTTTTTATGAAGTCTGTCTTAGTATTCAGGCTTTTTTTCTCTTGTGAGTTTATTCTAGTTCTGTATCACAGTCTCCCAGCCTCACTGTTTTTGTAATCCAAATTTAGGTAATGCTCCTTAGGTAATATGATATAAGAAGTTACAATTCTATATGGAAGATAAATGTAATCAATAAATACAGAGTCACCTGAGAAAACTCAGTGATTTCTGTTTTCTTAGAGACTAATGCAACAATTAAGTACATAATCCTAAAAGGAAAATACAGACTTGTGCCTGCCTTAATTGTGTATTCCTAAATTATGAACTACAGAGTAGAATAAGAAAAAGCTACAAGCTTTGTGCATTAAAAATAAATTTTTAAAAAAGAGAGGGGGAGAGAGAAAGCTACTAGTTAAATCTAGTAAAGCAAGGTTCAGTAAAGGTTTTATTCCCCCCACGCTGTCTCAATCCAAGCTATGTCTGCAGTTCTTTGTTATGAATTCTTCTTGTATTCTGGAAGTTTAGTTCACTGGGGCAAAATTTGCTGTAACAATAGCCTACTTCCTGATCATCCGTTATGTGCACGTACAACTTCACAACTTTATCACTATTTTCTGATCCAAATTTGCGTTCAAAATAAAAGATGATGCAATTGTATTTCCATAATCGATGGAACTGGAACACTTTTTGCTTTATCTGGCTCCAGCAAAATGTGTAGCAACAGAAGAATCTTCTCTATGCAGTGCTGGTATCATAAGCTGAAAGACAAACCTAAAAGCAGATATTTGCTACTGAACAAGCGAATGGTACTTTGTATCAGTCACAGGCCAAAGTAAGCATGCTCCTCTAGAGAATTTTGGAATATGGAAACAAAAATCATATGGTGTACTAGATTTGCTCTTTTCAGTAATGAAATACGGTGTAGCAGGGAAGTAGGCCAGGTGAGAATACAGCCAGCACTGCAGTGTCTCCTCCTTTCAGAGGAGAGACCGCTGAGGCTGTTGGTCTTCACTTTTGTATCTTACCTGAAAGATGACTCTTGCCCCTTCATAGAGTCTCGTCACTGAATCCTGTCACTTTTTCCAGAGCTGACTCAAGGAGAGGTGCTGACAAAGAGACTCCTCTAAATCCCCTTTTGAAGCATATAGCTCATTTTTGGAGATCTCATGTCAAAGTACAGACATATCCTAACTCTGTCTAGTCTTTATTTCTCAAGATACATTATCGTCTCTGCAAGCAAACAGTATTTTTTTTTCTTAAACATTTATGCTTATGCCTATGTTCTGTTGAGTCAAAATAATAATAAAAAAAAAACTCCAGGTTGAGAGTATAATTTTACCACAGTGTTTGATGTATATTTTTCTAGATCTGCAGTGAATATTAACTATTTTGACAACAAGAGCTAATAGAAGAAAATCAGATCTAAACTATATTTCTAAGTTATTTTCAGAGTGTGCATCATCTTTACTGTACATTTTGGGGGAAGTTTGGTATCGGAAAATTTAAACAACACATACACAGCTATTGCATACACAATAGCTGTTGTGCATACACAGCTATTGTGCAGCTGACATAGATGCAGTCAGCCCTCTCTGAGGTCTCAAGTTGTCCTAGTAAAAGGAGCAAGATTCGGAGAGAGGAAAAAAAAGAAAAAAAGCAAGTGAGCTCTTTGCTCCTTTTCCTTGGAGAATGAATCTAGTGCGACCATGGTCTGTATATGAGTGTACCTCTTAGTTAATCTTAGGACATCAAAACTATTAATCCAACTTGGAAAGTTCATCTCTACTTCCCTGTAAAGCAACTTGAGGCATCCCTGTTCCGTCTCTATCACTACACCCCTCCAAAGTTTTCCAGTTTCACACAGATTATTCGCAGAAAACAACAGTTGTGGTGGTGCGACTTAAGCTGTTAGAAAAGCAAAAATTGAAGGTAGAAAAGAGAAGGACAGAAAAATATTTAAACCTTTAAGGTTCTGATATTTTTGGTGATTATTTATCAGGGAGAAGTAGTGGCATTGTTTTACAGTCCAGATTTAGAGTTCCTAACGCTAGAAGTGCAAGGTGAAAATCCTAGGACTGACAAATCTATCACTTCTACTGAGTTTCAGCTGCCTTAAGTACCGAGATAGTTGGTACCTACAACTGAGCCAGTCCTGCCAGCCACTTCCTTGGTGAGTGGAACATAGTCGATACGTCCTCTCTGTCAGTGGTAAATGTCACCACAGGTCAAATGAACTGTGAGCCAGTAATGTGGTTTTTGCTTTTGAAGGATGTGTCCCAAGCCTTATCTATATTGTATTTATCTAAAACCATTGAAATAACTTTGAAGATTCCATCCATCTAGATACATCTTGATACAGTTTCCATAGCTTGCTCTGACTCAAGGATGCTTAAAGGCATAGAATCAGAAACTTAGAAAAAATGCCATAGAAGTTAGTGAATCAGTCCCCCTGCTTAAGTGTGGGATTAACATTACCTTTCCATTTCTGGCAGATAATTGTCCAAGCTGCTGCTTAAAAGTTCCTAATAATGAAGATTCTACAACCTCCCGAGACCTTCTGTTACAAACGTTCTTTACCATTTTTCTGCTCTCTTATCTTGCTGTAAATGAAGCTTAATACTGTTACTCTTCTACCCATGGACATGGGAAACAGACGAATCCCTTTTTCTTTGAAAAATCTTTGGACTGCTGTGAATCCAATCGTTTTTCTCCTCTTCTTTAGATTTAGCAATTAGTTCAAGATTTCTTTGTTTTGACTGTAGGATCAAACTTCTCCTTGAAACAAGGGATCTGTTCCCTTTTTGTATTGTCTCTCTTCCCTGTTTTATGTCTTTTGGGAAGAGGCATCACATATGCCCTTGGCAATCAGTGGAGAAAACTTGGTTAATTAAGGGCCCATCAAAGAGCATAATAAGCTGTTGGCTTCTACAGTGTATTTTATGCTCTATTCCTTGAAGTTAAAATATACAGATGGTTTTCATATTAAACACACTGTTTATCACTTGAAATACAGTATCAGTAGGCATCCATCATAATTTCTAGTATTCATTTCCATATCTGACCTAATTGTTAGATATAACAGCCACACACATTTACATGAATAGAAGTCTAGATGGAACAAGAAAATACAAAGGAATAGCCATAATATTAAGAAATAAATACTCTTTGTCAATCATCAGTGGTGATGCTGTGGGGTTTTTTGTGTGTGTGGGAAAAAATCCCCAAAAATCGTATTAATGAAAGACACATTACATCAGACACTTTGTAGGATGAAAACTTCCTTAGCTTAGGATATGGCAGTGGCTGCTGCAGGCATTGTTAGCTTGTAGTTTTGGGAACTTTCCCAGAAATTCCAGGTTCGCTTTCATTGATGGCAATTTGGTTTTAAAATAAAAGCAGTCGTTAAAGGATGCATTTCTAAAGATCCCCAGTTGCATGTTGGCAGAGATTAGGATTTAAGGGCCACATTCTTAACAATATTTAAGATCAGCTATTATTTAGACATCTAAGTACGATTTGGGAATGTAAATAACTCATGAAACTGGTCCTCAATGAGAACATTGCCTTGGCTTAAACAAATACGTCAGTACTGTGAAATATGAGAATTCTGAGATTTGCAATATCGAAATTAAATTTCAAAACATTAAATGATTTTTATGCTTTGTTAATGTTGGCTGAGTGCTCTGAAAGCTGAGAGTCACACAATCTAACTCCTAACTGTGACGGACTTCATCACATACTGAGATGCATCATGTAAAAAGGCTGCAGTAAAGACAGGCCAAATTCAGTTTCTGCCTCCAAGCAGAGCGTAACCAATATAGAATGTCTGGACATACAAACAACTTGAGATCACTTGTCAGGAGCACATATTACTGCTATGGAAACAGTGATGAGAAAGATTCTCTTCAAGGGGAACGCGCAGATTGGAATCTTGGAGACCTGATTTCACTTTGACTCGCTGGCCCGGGCTGCTCCTCAGCGCTGCAGCTCTGTGCCAGCAGTTTTACTGCAGCATCTTGCCAGCATGAGACGGCTTGCCAGGAAAATCTGAGTCCTGTAGTGTCCACACACGTGTGTGTGTGCATGGAGGTTTGCACACACATCTGATTCAACAACTGCGGCTGAGGTCAGGAGGATCGTGTTTATCCCTGCTAGTAACTGTCAGGTTTCTGTAACACTGATTGCTCCGTCCTTCCTAAAAACAGGGGAAATCAGTTTTAACTCTCATCTGTGCTGATTTATAGGACAAAGGACTGATGTACAAAGTATTTTTTGGCCCAACTTACAAGTGCAGAGGATGCTGGCTGACTTACTCTGCCCCCATCAAAAGCTCATGCTTTGGCAAAGGGAAAATAATGGTAGGTTCTAGGGACATTGAGATATAACTGTGCTTTCAGCAGAGGCATAAATATAATGTGTCCCAGCACAGTGTGATATTTTCAAATGTCAACAACTGCTGGGCCTTCGAGACAGATATTCGGTGTATGAGGCAGAAACAAACTGAGGGACGGGTCCTCAGGCGATCGATACCATTTACACTTCCAGTTTCATCTCCACCTCATCTCCATGTTTTGGGCAAGCCCACGGTACCCTAGTTCTATCCCACTGCGTTTCTCTTTCACTTACTTGCCTTTCTCACAGTAAGGACATTAGTGGGGTGTCTCTTTGCTTCATCAAGTGACAGTTCCACAACTTTAAGAAAGCTGATTGATAGAAATATCCTGGAGATCACCTCTACGTTGTCCAGCTTGGTGGA